AGTGAATTGTAAACAAGGTATCATAACTACACCCACATTTTTTGTGCGAAAAGTACTGGTAACTATTAAACTAAATGTTCCTAATTGGATTTTTCGCTAGTGTAACTATAAGTACGGTTTTTGAAGGCTTTTGTACAAAAAGTCAGAAAGTAGGCTTAGAGAAAATCGAGTGGTAATATGGAACCTTACTATATGTTTTCAAAAAATGCTTTAATGTATCCAAAAACAAATAGGAAAGTGCAAAGAATGTTAAATAATTACAAAATTATTTACTCCAATGTATTTTACTGAAAAAGTGCTTTTATAATAGAAAAATATGACCTCCATCAACAATATATATTCCAGCAGCTCTTTTTCAATATTCTCAGGAAGAATTGGCTTTCTACCTAGTGTCTTTTTCACAAATTGCTCCAGATGAATGTCTGCTTGCAAATAGAGAGTTCGGAGGAGTTGGGTTCCATATTAAAAGCACAGTTCGCCTTTATTATCAGTTCGAAATGGAGTGGTTCCATAATACCCGCAGTGTTCCATAATACCACCTTTTCCACTAGTAATAAATAAATAATAAATCATAAAATTATATAGGTCTACTTATGAAAATAAGAATACCTGACTAGGCCACTTTTCTTTAACTTCTTCAGGAATTATTCCTATATTTAAATTTTTTAAACACTCTGCTCGTTCCATTCTTGTATTAAATGGATGCAAAAGTTCTAATAATATTATCCCAAGACTATACATGTCTGCCTAAAGAATTTTTTGCACAATTAAACAAATTTTTACAAAAATCTTTATAACTATAAATTTTATTTTAAACTTACTTTTGAATCATATATTTGACCAGTTCTCTGCTCTGGTGCAGCATAAGGTGTAGTTCCTACACCAAAAGAACGTTCATTGGTTCCCAACAATGGTGAATAACTTCCTTGTATATCTGAACTGCAAACTGCCAGACCAAAATCTCCAATTTTTATTTTAGAGTGATTATGGTCAAATAGTATGTTTTGGGGCTATATAAAAATGAATATTTAAAATCATTAATAATCTAAAATATATTATTTTCTATTATAAAAACTTTCAATTTGAATTTGTTATAAAATGACATCATTAAATCAGTTCATCTAAGAAATTTTAAGAACTGATAAAATTCTTTAATTGAATAAACTAATAAAAATATAGTTATTATAAAATGGATTTGAATGAATTAAATGTTTATATACAGTATATGCTAAACAAATATTTGCAAAGTTCCTACTCAAATTTTTGTTTTAAATTCTATGACTTTTGCTGACTTCCCCTGATTAACTTTGTACAAATTCCATGACCCTCAAGTTCCTTTCAGTACAGCACATTGACAAAATAATACAGCATATGATTTACTGTGCAAATATGCTATTGTTTCTTAAGCTCTTTAATTAGTTATTTTTCTAATTAACAGTTACATAATTTTTATAATTGCTGAATAATTAAAATTAAAAATAAAATGTTTTATTAAATTAAAATAGTTTATTTTATTATTAATCCACAACCATAAATCTATGTTGATTTGAAAAATAAATAAAAAGCCATTATTTATTATTCATTAACAAATCCTGTATAATCCATATACAAAAGTATATATTTATTAAATTTATCTCTTAATAGTTTTCCCAACTTTATAAAATATTAATAAACTGGGGGAAAAATCAGAAATTGTTTTGTTACACAATNTTGAAATACTGAATATAAATGGGGTTTGCTTGCAAAACCCCCGCGGGAAAAGTTGCGGGTAACAGCTAGTATATATATATATATTTTTTTTTTTCATTAAAATTTTTTACTATATATATATAGCAAAAAATTTTAATGAAAAAATTATTATATAATGCAGTTTTCAAATAAAGTATTAAAACTTATTAATACTTTATTTGTGAATCATGAATTGATAAAGATGAGAAAAGCAAAAAGTTTGACACTATAAGAATTGAGAATTATATTAACTAAGGGAATTGAATCATCAAGAATATATCAAGATAACTTGATGAAATGAATTATAACTTTAACAAGGTAGTGGAGAATAATTTTCTCATTATCTTGTTGATTTGTATAATTTTTTGAAGTTAGAAAAAATATTCAATAATTATATGTATATCAAAAATTTGATGTTTTGAAAGCTCAATTAAATACATATATGACAAAGAAATGATCTTAGAATTGATGGTATCTTACATATGTCCTAAACAACAATCAGCAGTCATTGTGTACTTTCAATGTCTGTTGATTCATTTAATACATTTAATAGACTTTTTGTGCTATAATAATTAACAATTACATCAATTCAAATCAGCTTTTTGGTAACGAGCATTTAATTAAATTATTTTTTATGTTTAGAATGCCTTCAGATGTCATGGTTAAATGAAAAATCTTTATACATTTAGAACAGCATGAAAATAAAGCTGCCAAACATTACTTATTTCATAATAACTTAGGAAAACAATGCAAATGCTGATACTTAACAAAACAATGAAAACTACTGATTATTTAAAAATTTTTCCATCCCACAAATCTTAAAGTTAAATTTCAAACTCAAGAAGCATCTTAGAATTGAAGAAATACAATATAACTTATGTACAGATATGTATGTATACATATGCCCTTTGAATTAATTAATATTACAGTATTTGTGCTATCACACACAATCATTCTGTAAGGCTTATCGCACTGACACAGTTTACTATGAGGAGTTTATTAAATTAATCAATAAATATACACCAGTATTTCCCAAAGTGTGCTCTGTAGAGTCCTAAGACTCCACAACTCAAGTTATAAGGCTCCGTGAATCTTTTAAAACATTTTTAAAGTTAATGAATCAAATGCATTATTTGTTTATTTTATAACAATTTTTAAGTGAGCTGTTATTTATTTGAGTTGGCAATACATCTCAATATGGTAGTTGCCATTTGTGTAACTGATATTTCATTGAATGACAAAAATAAAATATATGTAATCTTTTATTAATAAACAGTTATAAACAATTATATATACTTTAATTTAATCATTCAATCAAATAATAATAAAAATAAAGCATTAGAGTCTGGTGGCCTCATTCTTTCTCTGTCAATTGTACAAATTTATAACAAAAGTGCCAAGTTGTGAAGATGTCACAAAAAATCTGTCCTTGCTTAAAGATTCCACTTTTCTGAGAAGTTTGAGAAATTCTCCACTAAGATATAAATGATAACTCTCTTTCTACACTATAAGCAGTCTTAACTACATAGTTTTGTATGGGATGAGTTGAATCTTTGTTAGTTTGTTGTACCATTTCTTTCTGCATCTTTCCATATTGCTTAATAAACCTTAATAAACCTTTTAGTTGTTAACCTTCCACTGAGACCCATACAATGTGACATGTCTCACCAAGATGCATCAGAAAATAAGGTATAATTTTCATTTGAAAAATGAGTGGTGAGAGACCTCATATGCATATGTACACACAAAATGTCTATATAGGTATCCCTCATACAACAAGGCATTCCTACAACACAGTTTCACTCTAATATGATGCGAGAATTGGAGATATCCCAGTACAAAATGTCACAATTTTTAAGTGCAAACACTGTCATTCTCTTTTTTTTTTTATTCTAACGAGCATGCATGTTGTCTCATAATTGCTCATGGATTTTAGAATACTGAAATTTTCATTGTTGTTTTTTGCCTTTCATCTGTTTTCTTTAATGAAAACTGACTGTAAAATTTTTCTTCTTCCTTGTCCTATCTTCCAAATTATTAATTTGGAAGCTAAGACAAGGAAGAAGCTCCATAAATAATTTGGAAAAATTTATTAATGCATTCTATTTTCAGTATCATTTAAGATGTTTTATATTCTATAAATGAATTATTGATTATTTCTATAAAAAAAACACTAAATACAATCCAGTGGAACACATTTATATGACTGACAACACAGGACCAAAAAGACAAATTTTGATTATGTATCTCTTTAGTTATAAGTTAAAATTTATCAAAAAATTACAGAAATGATAATTTTTATAACAAAATCATAACATTACAGTTTTTAACAACTGTTTTATGTTTTATTTTATATTTTTATTACTAAACACAGTAATACCTTTTCATTATACATTTTGTTTTTGAAGTCTCAGTAATCAGTAGTTGAACAGATATAATTCACAGCAATAAATACCAAACTGAATTTTGCCTATCAAGACTCAACAGCACTGCTAATGGGTGATATACTCTCCTCTACATTTTTTTAGTATTACAATGTTCTTTAAGAACCTATTACACTTCCTTAAGAACCATTGTAAATTCTACATAAGAATCATTAAGTGAATGCTAGAACTGTCCCTGACATTAACTTGTTTTGTTAAAGAAATATTTTTAGTTTATGAATTCTCTTACTGTTACAGGATAGTATAAACATATAGAATTCTTGTTTCAATATAAAACCTGTCAAAATACCTTAATTTTCTAGGAATTACCATATCCACAGATGCCATAATCACTAGCCAATCAACAACTTTATTTTTCCCATATGCATTTCAGAAATTACAATATTCTCCCTCAAACTAAAGAGCACATTTATATGACTTTAGGTGTTGACAAATGAAGTGATGGAGAACAAATGAAAGTAATAGTACCAAGGACTGTGTTTAACAAAATATTGTTAACAAAGAAATACAGATGAAAATGATTTTAATATGAAAGTAATTAAATGGTTGGAACATTGAAATTGAAAGTGTATCAGAAAAGTGTTTGTGCCTTGTTTAGCTTGTATGGAAGAAAACCCACCAAAGAGAGAAATATTGTAATTTCCAAAATTCACCTGGATAAAATAAAGCTGGTGGTTTTGCTATTGATCATAGCATCTGTGAATATGATAATTCCTGGAAAATTAAAATATTTTGAGTGATTATATATTGAGATTAAAAAAATGGAATAGAAGCAAAGTGTAGATTACAGATCACAGAATTCTTGTGTTAAGATCACTTCATTCATTAGCTAATGACATATTGCTAATCCTCCTTTGTGAGAGATAACAAGTTTGAGGCATAAATTTTATATTTAATTCCCAAAATGCAGAGACAGGTGTGTGAAAACAAACAATGAACATATTCTAAAAATTCTGAGTATGTTTTCTGAAAGATTATTATTTAGAAAGAATATGTCTATTAACTTTATCAGAAAAGAAATGACCTATAATGAACTCTAATGAATTTCTACAGTAAAATAGTTTATTTTTATTTCATAGACTTTTTATTTTAATCAATATCAAATATCGAGTCTTAAAATATTAACTTTTAAGACTGATAAGCAGGAAGTTAATAAAGTACATATAAAAAATATACATTGAAAAACCTTGAAATGATTTTCTTGAAGTAAAGAAGAAAAAAAAATACATAAGCGAAGATCACACCACATATCGACGTTCATACCGACATTTTTTGAGGATTTTTCTTTGTTTTTATATAACAAAATTATAAAAATTTATTTGAAAATTTCTCAGCAACTTGGTCTACATCGTCTCAATACGATTTTAAAAAATGAGACATTAGAAAGATCTATAATATTTCCAAAACTGATGAAAAGGCCTTTCCCATTTTCGTAGAATCGATGTTNTTTAAATCTCGATGAATTAAATCCTGAGAATGAATATGTTCTACTCCTTTTAATACTTGACGAAATATAGCCATTACTTCTGTTTCACACACTTTATCAAAAATATCTGAAAATATATGTAATTTTATTAATTGTAAAAATAATAATAAAGAAATGTAACTATTAATTTCTTAATAAACGTACTTTGATTTGGAACCAGTTGTATATTATCTCTTTGATCTAACCAATCCCGCAAACTTTCTGCACATAATTCCATTTGGACATAGAGTGTTGCTCTAACATTCTAAAAATACATTAATAAAATATATACTTAATTAAATTTCATTAATATAAATAAAACATTCTCCATATTTTATATATTATTTATGAGTATATTTTGAAATAATTATTTTTATATCTTACAACTATCTTACTTAATAACTTACTATCTCATATTGAATATGAGATAGTAAGTTATTAAGTAATAATACTTTAATAATTATTAAGTTATTAAGTAATACTACAACTCCTTGCCAAAAAATTAGAATATTCCATCAACGTATGTGTTGAGCAATGAAATAGTAAGTTTGATGAAAGATTGTAAGTTAAAATTTTTTATTTATGACTTATGTAATGAAAAATATTAATTCCAGGAATAATAAAGGACAGAATAAATTTACAAGAAAAGCAATAAGTATTATTTTATTAAAAACAATACGTGTTGACTGTGACAAAAAATTGGAACATTAAAATGTAATCTGAATTGTCATAAACAAGAGACAGACACCTCTTTTAGAAAATAAGTCATTCCATATCATTGTAAATAAATAAAAATGGAGATAACAAGTAATAAGTAAATGCTCCATCTATTTTCCTGATGTTTGTTTGATATTTGAAGTAATTATTGATGTATTTATAATGCATTTGTGAGAATCTGAAGGAGGGGAGTTAGAATAATTAGAAAAAAAAACAATTAATTAAATAACTTAAGAATATAATTTTTAAGACAGAGATCAGATCAAAAGGTCAAATGGGAAAGGGAAAAACAAAACCCAGACACTTCCTATTTCTATTGAAGGAACAATTATTACTAAGGTTGCAAGACAAACTCTGACCTTAGTCACCTCCAGCAATTAATTCAGTTGGTTTGACAGCTGTTATCAAATTTATGAGGTAGAATGAGTAATCATAACGGATGGAAAGAGGTAATAAATCCAAAGAAATGTTTTGATTTCTGACAATCAACATAAACAAAACCTGGACACAAAGTGAACTTTGAACAGGTTACATCATCTATAGCATTAGTCAGCTCTCCCAAAAACAGGTATAAAAAGGGCTTGGACACAGTCCTCTGGACAAATTTCAACAAGATTCATACCGCCATTCTGTCTGTCACCACCTCACCACAATTGCCCATGGTCAACTCCGCCAATCCAGAAACATTTTTACCAACAGCCATACAACAAGATTGGGAACCAAGAGGTATTATAGATTATTTGATAGTGCTCTCTCAGGTTTCTCTCTTAGTTAAAAGCTAGATTAAGGTTAGTTTAACTTAGAGAATATTGGGACAGATAAAGGTCCAGAACTTAGATGGTCTACCGACAAGAATAGATTAATCATTGCCGCGACTTAGAAATTTTGTTATTATTTCCATCTTTTGTATCTATACGTTTTTGTAGTCACTGTGTATCATTTTATAGTTTATTAAATATGTTGATCTTATATTTAATTATGTGTCATCCTTGAGTATGACTGACACCTTATCACAACCTCACTAACCCTCCCACTCATTTGCCATATAGACCATCCCTGACAAAGAAGCCGATAAGTGGGGACAAGCTCAACACTCTACCCCCTCGGTTCACACAATATAATTTCTTAAATTATTTAAAAAATTAATTTCAGAATATATTTAGCATTAATACTTTACCCAAGATAAATGAGGACATTCATCAATGTGAGCTAGTTGCAAAATTTTGCAGTTATCATCATAACTAGAACAACGAACTAAAGATAAAGGCAAAATATCTAAATCAGAATTTCCTCTTCCTCTTCTTTGTACAGTCAATGTATCATCCATTTCTGATTCGCTGTGTGATTTACAAGTTGCACCTGAGCCATGTCTATGACGAGATGTAGAACTAAAGGCAAAATCTTCTGAATTGTCATCATCACTTAATATACAATCTTCTATTTCACAATCATCTTTTACTTCTTCACATGAATCTAATGTATTTGTAACTTCTTTAATACTGAGTGATTTATAAGAATTATTGATATGAGGAATTTTTAAAAGTTTCCTAGCAATTACTGGAGATATATTAATGTAATTATCTACTACGAATGAATTTAAATGTTTATCATTAAAATTAAGAGAATATGTTTCTTTTCCATAGTCAGAATTTTTTCCTATTTCTTTATATTGCTTTATGTTTTCATTTTCTTCTAGTTCATTGTCATCATTATCATTATTATTATCATCAACAAACATAATACTGTCATCGTCAGTTCTGTTTTCTGATAATTCATAGTACCTGAAAATATTTTTAAAATGTAAAATTTGTTCTCTACAAATTTTGTATTATATTTAAAAAATTCTTTAAACTAGTAGTATTAATATTTAACTGGTTAAAAATCATAAAGTTAAATTAATTCTATTCATTATATTAATTAAACAATAATTATTAAAAAATTCAAAGACGTAAATATTATTACTTTATAAAATAAATAATTTTCTTCAAATAATTTAAAACATAATTAATTTTAAAACATTAAAATTCATTGGGTTACTGGAATAGCAATATATTAGCAAAAACTTCTATAAATTATTATAAATCTGAGATTTAATTTTTAACTATTACATTTTTTAAGAACTACCAGTAACACAATTTTTATGACTTTTTTTGGAACCAAGGTTATTTGAAAAAAATAAAAATTTTTAAAAATAAAGATTGAAAATAACAACATAATAGGATTCTTTAAAAATTTCAAAAAAAATCTAAGAGAAAAATGTCAAATAAATATCATCAACAACAACATATATAATAAAATATATGTCAAAGTTTAATGCTTAATGTTAATAGTTATATTTTCTAATAAAGTAAAGAAAAGTTTAAAAAACCTATGGATAAAGTAAATTTCATTATGTCACATGTTTATAGTCTGAAGACAATTGTAACTGCACATAACATTTTTAATATGCTTTTCCAATTCATAATAAATTTTAAAAAATTGATTATGAATAAAAGAACAAAAAATAAATAAATAAAATAAAATTAACATATTATGATTAGACAAATTTAGTCTTAAAATGAATAATTTCTGTCTAACAAAGTTCCCATGAATGTTAATTGTCAACAAATTAAATTTTCACGAATCATGCATTTATATATACAATATATATATTTTTTCAATAAATAGATTAATGTAATCAATATTAGTATAAATAGAATTATAGATATCCCTCACATAACATGGTAGTTAGGTTCCAAAAATTAACAAAAGTACACTATTCTTTTTCATTACTAAGAAAAATATGTTTATTAAAGAAATCAATAGTTTATTTCCAATCAATAATTAATTAATAATCATGATTAAAAGTACTGTATGACATGTAAATATTAATTTTGGTTAAACAAGGGTGTTTTCTTTTTACAAAGTATCATCATCATCTGAGCTTTTTTGTTGATCTTGATCACAAAATATCAGCAACATTTTCATATGTTTTATTTTTATCATAAAAAGTTTTTATGGATGATGAAATAAAAACAATGTTATTAATTGAAAACTTGTTCTAGTGGTTCATGTTTGTTCAATCAAGTATTGAGCAACTTATTTCCAAAATTTGTGTTTAAATACCAAATTGTTAGAGTACCAAGATACCATCACATCTTGTTCATCATTTTATGAATGATTGCTTACCTACAGTTAAAAAAAAGTTTAATAACACTTACCTAAAGATGTCTAAATAAACTTTATTAAATATAAAGATTAATTATAAAAACAAAACACAGTAGGTCTTAAAGGCTAAAATCTGAAAGCAACAACAATGATACCTTGTTGATAAGAAAGCTAAGAGAAGGAAGAAAAAAAATTGCAGTATCACTTTTCATTAAAGTAAACCTGATGGAAGGCACAAACAAATTGAAAATTTCAATATTCTAAAATCTGTGGGCAAATTTAAGACAACATGCATGCTTGCTTGAATAAAAAAAAATTGAATAATGAAGTTTACACTTAAAAATTGTGAAATTTTGTATGGAGGATTTCCCAAACCATGTTAGAACAAAACCGGAAGTCATGTTGTGCAAGGATATCTTCAATTTTCAAACAATGTTAGAGCATGTTGTACAAGGGATATCTTTACTGTAAAAAGTAAACTTAATAATGTTGATACCAAATCTCATTGTTGCCAGACAAAATATATTTTAAAAAGTTATGTGGATTTTTCTGAATAACTTTTCTATGAAAATTTTCCGTATAATTCACTTTTTCTTTTAATAATCTGATTCAATAATGATGCAATACTAACAAAATGCTAAGAGAAGTTCAGCAATTGTTTACTCACATATTCAGGGCATATTATTCTGTGGTCAGGCTTCTAAGCTTTCAATTTCTGGGCTCCTACCACTTCAATCTTTCACCTAACTACAGTATGTAACACTAACTATTTTGAATCTCCTGAAGAATTCTATTCACAATTTTTTATATTTTTATTGCATGAGTAAAAATGCATTTTGGAGATATAACTGTTCAACACAGTGATAATTTAAAATAAATAAAACTTTTATTTGTTAATAAAATATACAATTTATGGATAACTGTTTTAATATAAGAAACAATTTGTTTTCCTGCGATAAGGAAGCAGATCTTATTAATAGATGTTATATAAAGAGAATCAATTAACTTTATATAGCATTAAAGTAACATAAATAAAAATACACAGAAACATGCATATATATATGTACTGTACATGTATTGTTAGGGTGCAAACTGAAAAATGCCTAGGGCACAGGTAACAGTGTCCTAAGAAGAAACATTGATAGTCCTCTAGGTTTCAACATAGTCAGCCTTATGAATAATAAAGCCCTGCCTTATTTACAATAGAAAGCAATGGGTAGTGTAAGGGTGTGACTATGCAGATGCAATCAAGTGAATTTTCTGAGCAAGCAAGAATATGTAGTGAAAAAAGGTGATGATGTTTCACACACTCTGTTTCTCGCTCTTGTCTGTGTGGTCATAATAAATGAGAGTGAGAAACAGAGAGTGTGAAATGTCATCACCTCTTCTCATCACATATTCTCACTCACTTGGAAAATTCACTCCTCGAATCTGCATAGTCACACCCTAACTACCTATTGCCCTTTATGATAAACAATGAACTCTGCATCTATCAACATGCCTGAATTCATTGAGCTATCTTCTTTTACCTGCACAAAGAATTTTTTGTTTCACTTACCAATTATCAATAATTTACATAAGGTTTTTCACAAAAATAAACACATATTACAAGCTTGACTGAAGACATGTTAAAAATTGAGTAACATATACAACAATATGCCCAACTGAGAATAGCATAAGAGAGCATTTCACTCAATGAAATGGCAAGTAATTAACAAAAACATTAACAAAATATTGAAGTACAAGATTTAGCATCAACATTATGTAAAATTTCACAGCATATTATTATTATTATTATTATGAATAATATGATTTAAAATGTTTGGAATAAAATATATGCTGAAAGAATCAATGTTTAATGAAAAGTAAAGCCAAAATTTAATTTTCTGAATTAATTAAAATTTTTTTTTACTTAATTTTTAACTTTATTTTTTTCAAAATTGTAAAAAAAAAAATGTCTTGATAACTAAGTAAAAGCAAATTTAATTATAATTACCTTTGGCATGCTTTTGTCATACAAACTTCTGAAGTGTCTATATCTGATGATGATATAGGTGTAATAGATCCTAAAAAGAAAATATGTAAATAATTTTTATATACTAAATGTAAGTAATATATAAATACATTAACAACATTAACAAATCTATTATATTGGATAGTTAAATGGCAATTTTAGAAATTTACAGATATCTGAAATATTTTAATTAAAATATAATTTTACATAATTAACTAAATTTATTATGTATGTAATATATACTTTATATACTTCAAAATATGGCCCATTTTAATAATATATCCATTCTATTATGAGTTTAATTAAATTTACAATAAAAAATCAACTAGCTTGTCTATCGATCTAGCTTGTCTAAAGGATCATCCTAAATTTTATGCTGAATCCTCAAAGCAATAATGTGCCTTAATCATGTTACTATCCAACCAATCACTTGTATACAGCAAAACCTGTCTAAAATAAAAACCTGCCTAAATGGAAAAAATTCTTTGGAATGGAGAGATTTTCTATATTAAATCCTACTATAAGCCATAAGCTAGCCCAATGTAGTAACAAAAGAGGTTTTTGAATAGAAAAAAGTTAACTTGATAAAGCAGAAAATAAAGATTTCACTTTGGTGTGTATGGACAAATATGCAAAATTATTCCAAGTAAAATAGTCATTTCAGAGTATAACAAGCTGTATTCTGAGAACAATTTGCAACCTTACCAGAAAAAAAAATCACAAAATATGAGAACATAAAATATTTGTTAATTTTAGTCTTTGTTGAAATTAACTAGGGGCAAAATTGAATACTTTTAAGAAACAGATTCTCAAGAACAAGCAACAAATGTAATTCATGAAAACAATAAGAATAAGGTAACATGCTGCCAATTTACTTTGTAAGAGTAGTTAACAATTAATAGTACTAAGTAAAGTAATCAAAAACAAGTTGATTAATATGTTGATAATTACAGAGGTTGAAGTAAACAATTAATGAGCAAGAGTACAGCAGTGATTCCCAAACTTTTTTGATCCACCACCCCCTTTGTTCCATAAAGTTATACGCAACGCCCTCCTAACCCATTTTCTCTTGTGTGAGAAAGGATTGGAAATATTCTTAGGAAAACTTTTCTATGAATCTCACACTTTGTGCCCTTACTGTAAATTGTTCTCAACATCTGAAAACCATTAAATGCAATGTTTCCTCTTATCAGTTTAACAGAGGAAACGGAATGGCTTTCAGTGACTCCAGTTTTGCCTTTGGTCACCATTCAATACCCTGCCTCCAGCGCCTCCTAGATTTACTCATCACCCACAATGGGATGTTATTGCCCACTTTGAGAAACGCTGGAGTACAGTAATACCTTGTACTTGTAAGTTTAATTTTTATTCTGGGAGGCCATTCAAATCCTAAATTGTTTAAAGTTCAAATTAATTTTCTCCCAATAGAAATAATAGAAAGTGGTTTGGAAATAGAAATCTATTTCCAAACCATAAATAATACCCATTTCATTAAACTTAAATAGCAAATACAAATACACATAATTTAAGGTAACTCAATTAAATGCCATAAATAATAAATTAAGACATGAAAACAATAAATACTCTACAATAAAATAAAAATTGCATTTAGTGCACCTTACTGAGAAGTGGTAATGTCCCATTTCTTACGGTATTTGAATATCTAGCACAAATTCTTGAAAATAATGAGTACTTTTTGCAATTAAATAGTTGTCAATTCTTGCATTTGAACACTCCCATCTTTAGTTAAAATTATCTTGGATTAAGCCTAGTAATAAAATATTTTTACTTATGTGTTGTAACTGATTCACTCTATGGTATTCTGAAATAAGTTCCACATGATTGTAAGGAATAAGAAACAAATATTTATTCACAAAACTGTTACAGTAGAGAACTACCCTTCCTCAGCAGCCTCCATTCAAAATCCTTCCGCCTTTTTTAACTGTTGCATCTCCTCAAGTATAATATCATTTCTTAGTGTGTGAGTCCTACTGCTAATACTACTTTATGTGAAAGTGATTTTATTATAAAAAGTTAACATAATTATGTGATCCAGTGTAGTTTAACAATTAAAAAAAAAAACTGAAAATGAAAAAAATCAAAATGCAAAAAATAATTCAGTAGCATGCAAATACAATTTATATAGGTTTTACTCTATTTAATTGTATTTTGAAAAAAAAATCCAGCAATGANATGAAAAAAATCAAAATGCAAAAAATAATTCAGTAGCATGCAAATACAATTTATATAGGTTTTACTCTATTTAATTGTATTTTGAAAAAAAATCCAGCAATGATGTGCTTAACTTTCCCAGCAACATTTAAAATTGCATGTATGGTGCCATCTGTTATATTTTAATATTAAAAGTTTTTAATATTTTTAATTATTATAAAATGGCAAAAAGCTTAATTTTGAGGTTAGGGATAGATTTTATAAAAAAATTGTAAATGCTAACAATGAGTAAAATCATCATTAAGTCCAACCTTACTCAAGATATAACAAACAACCCCCTTTATCTCCCCAGTGCTTTTACCTTTAACCACAAAAATTTACTAGCAACAGACCCCTAATACACAAATATTCCTGAAAAATTTGAGAATTTTTCAACAAAAAAAAGCACAAGTGTTATTAAGCTTCAAAAAGAGTGAACAAAATCATGCCACACACATACACCCCCATAAAAAACAGAAAAAAAAACCTTTTTTTTTTTGCATTTCTTGATGTTTCTAGGTCCCAAGTCCAAAAATGTAAAAATCTTGAGGGGCCATTTTTGCCTGATCACCATATTTTCCCTCTGTTATATATAACAGAGCTGGAAAAGTAAAAATGTTAATATTTTCCTAATTGTTAAAAAACTGACAAAATATTTTAAATAACTACTTGCTATCGAGTTTTTGCTATGTATTTATTTTAAATCTTTTAATAATAGAAAGACTTTTAAATTAATCTCCAACTCTGTTATTCTTTCTCTTAATAATATTATGTAAGATGTGAATAACTTTAATAAGATAATAGTATAGTGTAACCCTGATTTACAAGTATACCTTGTTATTGAAAACCTTTCATAAATAAAAATCTTGTAAACAGACAAACTTTTCCATTATTTCTTATGATTGAAATTCATACTACTATTTTCTGATAATTTAATTACCTTACCCACCTTCTTCAAACAATATTACAAAATATATTCTCACTGATAAAATAATTGAATCTTTAAGGACTAGAAAGTTAATTTATCAACTAAGAAAACAGCATAGAGAACACATTTCTTCAAAGTTCTGAAACAGAATGATTCCATAAGCATTTCTTGTAATCAAACAGTTTTTAAAGTTTTGCCATTCCTCATCTGATTTAGTCAATGACCACAATAGTATATGTTCATTTCAATAGATTTAACTATAAAGCAATCTGAATAAAATTAAATAAAAGAAATAAAACCAAATTGTTGATTAAGGTATTCACCAACACGGAAAAAACTGATAAAAAATGAGAGAAACAAATACAATATAAGAAATGAACATTAAAGTTATCAGAATTTTTTGTTTAATGGTAATAAAACAGAACTTAGTTAAGACAATAAACAGCAGAATACAAATAAAATATAATAAAATAAAAATTACCAATAAAGAATTTTTAACATAGAGATAAAATTTACTACACTCACAACAAATATTAAAATGAATAAAACTATTCCACTAAATAAAGTGAATGAAACAAAACAACAAAGACTAAAACCAATAAACTATCTAACAGAACCACACAAGAATTTCAATCTTGTCATACTCATGGTTAGAATATTTTATTCTCATAAATACTGATTGGTACTCAGTATATTAAATATTTCATCTTTTAAATCAGAAACAGGGATAATATAAATCAGCTCCTTGTATTGAATTCTTGCATATCAAATTCTCATAAATCAAGATCACAATGAATTAGCTCAATAATACATTAAAATTATAGAAAAATTTAAATTTTTAACAAGATTCAAATTAATTTTATTTTGAATGTCTATTTTTTTATTGTTATATAGATCAGACTTTTGTAGAATTAGATATGGCTTACAAGAAACACTTACAAGAAATAACTGAATACTAAGTTGATTGAAAATATTTTCAGGGACAATTAAAAAAAACTTTCTAAGGTAAACAAATATTGTTCATATACAAACTAAAAACTGTGAAAAATTAGAAAATCAGATTTTTAGAAAGTAATACTAAACTCAAAATTATTTTTTCCAATTATATTCTATAAACATGTAATGTATAGGTAAATTTAATTTTTAATTATGTTACCTGAGTTTAACAATTGATTTTCAATCCAAGCAGTTTTATAAGCTACAACATTTGGATGGTTTAGTCTTGCCAGTAGTTCTACCTCTCTCAATATCTAAAATTACATTAACATTTTAAATTAATTTAAAATATCATTATATTCTGACAAATAAATAAATTGAAACTTAAACTTTAATACTGTATATGAAAATTCAATATCTGAAAAAACAAAATAGTTAAATATATTATTAACTATTTTATTTTTTTAGATAGTGAATTAATTTTGCATATACAGTGGGTGATCGGTTAACGAACATAATCCGTTCCAAGACTTTGTTCATTATCTGAATTGTTCATTAACCGATTATCGATTTACCATAGATTTTTATGGGAATTTGATTAATTCGTTCCGAAGACTCCAAAAAATAAAAAATATATTTATTTATTTATATGCAATAGTAAAAATACATATATATGCAGTTTTGCATTTTTATTAGTCATGTTTTTTCCATTTGTGGGGGAATCTGTCTAATGTTGATTGCTTTTCTCTTTTCTTCAGGATTTTTGGAAGTAATTAATAGTATTGTAATTGTAGATATCCCCAACCCCATTAACCTTATTCTGGTTTGGATGCCATTTGGATGATTGTTGTTCTGACATCCTTCCACTTCTTCAAAAGATCTTTAGTAGCATATTTCAACATTGGTCTTCTTTTGTCTTCCTCTTTTTCAAAAGAAAACACGTTTTGCTGAGTTTCTTTGTATTCTTCATTTGAGAGTTCTTGGAGTTCTTCTGTCGTCAGATCAGTTTCAGGTTCCATTATGAGCTCTAAAATGCTCTTTATTTCTCAGATGTAATTTTCATTACTCCACTAGCAGCTTGAGATTTCTTAATATATCTTTCATAGCTAAGATTGTGCCTACTGTAGATCTGTTCAAGCCATACTGCCTAGCAACATCAGACATCTTGTGCCCACTTTCTACCTTGGCTATTATCTCTTACTTGGTTTCTACGGTGAGCAAAGTTCTTGAACACTCCTCTTTTTAAGCTCCATATTATTATCAGTTTATTTTTTAAATAAAAAGTTCAGAAAAGCACTTACAAAAATTCAGAGAACACAAATCAACTATCCCACAAAAAATTATTTAAATGCAAGGCCTGGATGAAATTCGAAATTTGGTATTAAAACATTAACGAATATCCAATGGGACAGTTAAACTTTCACCTTTCGTAAATAAATCCCAATGAAAACTTAACAAGTGCCCGTCCGAGAGTCTCGTGAATTCCATAAAAAATTATTTGTCAGAAAGGTAAACAAAAAGCTGGAATTACAAGGGAGAGTTTCAAAATTCGGATGGATACTATCCGATCGGCATCAGGTTGAGCATCAATGTTGATGTCTCCTGCGTTCTGAAAGGTTTCGAATTGTTACTCGAAGACAAGGAAAATCAAATCGGTATTCATTATTTTCCGTCACTTATTTTTATGTTTGTTCAGTAAAGTTTTCATTATCAGAACGTGTGTGCGCTGTCTGATCATAAAAATCTTTTGCAAAAATGTTCATTATCCGATTTGTTCGTTAACCAATCACCCACTGTATAAAATACTTACCTTCTGATATGAAGTATAATTAGTATATTTGAAGTTTATTTTCTTCACTGCATAAATACACCGATCTACTCGTTTCAATGCCTGTATTAAAAATTCAAATTTATTCATTACAATATGATGATATGTATATACATAATATACACACACAATTAATAAAGTATAAAATAAATAAGTATAAATTCTATGTGAATTTAATTAAACCAATATATTCTTTCTTGGTCATATATTATAAACTTACACCATTTTCATTATTATTGAACTGTAAAAGTCATTAAATTTCAATTATGTAAAAATTTAATTTCACTTGAAATACATTGTGTTTTATTCTGATTTTGTTTATAAATAATAACAAGAAACAGTGTTGTTTATTCTCAACATTAAAAGTATTTACTTATTGTTAGACTATTTTACAAGTTTATCATTAGACACTGCTTTATATTTAGACTCGTTATGTGGATTTTTTTCATTCCATCTATTTACATTCTATGAAATTGTACTTTTGTTGATAAAATTCATAGTTTTACTCCTCACTTATGTCTGTAAACAATGTCCACACTGGAAGCAAGGGAGGGGTTAAGACAAGTCAGAACAATGGAGGGAGTTCAGTGTTAGTAGACATCTGTTTATTTCATTAAATTTTATACAGTTTATGCATTTTATTATATTTATTTCAAAATTTCTTGTATGTTTTGTTTCTACTTGTGGTATCTATCATTCATAAAGTGATAAACGTTTTAATAGGGGTTGTTATGTTGGATGTCTAAAGAGGGGAAGGGGTTACAGAAACTGGAACAAGAGATAGGAGTAAGAATTTCATGAAAAATGCAGATGTAATTTATGGACCAGCCATAATTGTTTAATTAGACTGCAGAAAATAGACTTACACCACTTTCATAATCAATTGTTATGCAATGTCATTTACTAATGAATTTTTAATTGATCAAAGCATATGGTTATTTTAAAATACTGAATGTGAATTGTTTATAAATAAAAAGTTCACACTAAATTATATGTAAATTATGTAATTTCTCAATTTTTTCCAAAAATGGACTTACATCAGTTTCAAAACAAACAGTCCATATAATGTATGAAATATGCAATATCACAAATTCTATATAAATAATATTGTATAATGCTATGGGCAGCCTATATTGTAATAAGAAAGAAAAAATGACTAGATTGATGTATTAAAATCATTACATTAAAGCAGATTTTACAATATGGTAACCTTTATTAGCAAACTATTTCAATAAAACATTTTATCATCATCAGATTAATAAACAAAATAATTTTTAGGTTACATAAAACAACTTATAAATTTAAAAAAATTTTTATAATAAAAAATAATAATGTAAATCAAATATGGCAAAATAAATATAGCCCAGTCTATTGAAATGAATAGAGTTTGTGATAAAAACTTTTAAACTAAATTAATTAAATATTAATATATTTTATTATTTATTAAATTTAAAAAAATCTTCTATTAGAAATCCATAAATTTTATTCAAATTTAACAAACCTTGCACACAACTCCAAATCCTCCTTTACCAATAACTTCCAATTCTTCAAATTCCTCCAAATAACGACTGGTATTAAAAAGATGGTCATCAGCAGATGAAGGCAATGGTCTAATTAATAACAACATTGTATTAATAAATATATTATAAACATATTTAAAAACATATATGCCATACTTATATATCATTAAAACTAAAAAGTTTTTCCTTTTCCTAGCTACCTCATTTACAAGAAAAGCTTTACTATATTATTTTTTAAGATTATCTTAGATTTATATAAAATATTTTTCTATTCAATGTAAAACAAAATCTAAATCAGTACTTTCCAATTAAGATTTTTTCATGTAAAATATATTATACATGTATAAAGAATATAATGCAAAATATTAATAAAAACATTATAAAGTTCAGATACTATGACATACTTTGTTATAATTTTCATTGAAGCAATTAGTTAGTATACAGTAAAAGCTTGATACAATGGACCATAACAGGATGAAAGAAATTCATCTGTTATAATAAAAGTCTGTTTTATTGTGTTTACTCATTATTACAAACTCATCCATTATATCAAAAAGTCCATTACTATATAGACGAATCATGTTAGAATAGATCTTGATAACAGACCCAGAAAAAAATATCTCCAGTTTGCAGATGTTTTCTCCAGGTCCAGATGCTAAATCAGTGTATTTTTATCTCATTTCAGTGGATCTATTACTGTGAATATAAGAAATTCTACTGTGTATAGTAATATCAATTTGTCCATTATAATATATCATTATTGTGGACAAAATTTCAGTTGTAAAGTACAAGGGCTATTTTTTAAATAAGGTCCGTTTTTTAATAAGAAGAGAAATACTGTAAATATCATTAAAATATACTTTTTTCCCATATTCTGCATACTTTTATCTACTTTTCTACATAATTTCCATTTTTGTTCAAACATTTGTCATACCACTCAAAAATTTCTTAAATTCTGACTTCAAAGAAATCTGCCGCCTGCCGCCGGAAGACATTAGGCCACACTGCTTGTCTTGTAGAGACAAGCAGCATGGCTTAATGTCTTCCGGCAGAGTTTTCTCAAGGTCACAATAAGCATCAGAATTGATTGTTGTGCCTCTTGGCATAAAATCCACTAACAAAGTCCCTTTCCTGTCCCAAANACTGCTTGTCTTGTAGAGACAAGCAGCATGGCTTAATGTCTTCCGGCAGAGTTTTCTCAAGGTCACAATAAGCATCAGAATTGATTGTTGTGCCTCTTGGCATAAAATCCACTAACAAAGTCCCTTTCCTGTCCCAAAAGACAGTTACCATGATCTTTTGTGCTGAAATTGAATAACAGATCGTATCTTACAGTAACAGGCGACTCAATTTTCTTAAACATTATAAACTTTTACAGTTCAGCACAGAGACAGACGATACAGCTGCAAATGGCATTTAAACACATGCAAAGCATGCTGAAAGCAGATGCTCATGCACACTGCTGCAATCGTGCATCATTCTCACTCTTATTCACAAACGGACCTTATTTAAAAAATAGCCCTCGTATATAAACCAGATTTTTATTAAACTTATAAAAACAATACTTTTGTTCATTATTTGTATGTTTTGAAATATTTTTAAGAACTGTTTTAAGAAATTCCTATTGTAATTTTTCTCGTTTTCCAAATGTCTGAAATTGCCTCTTTATTCAAAGACATTTCTTTATTAACTTCGATTTGATATTTTTTATCTTCAATCTGATAAATTATATCTACTTTTTGTGTTAAATCTAAAGCTTTTCATTTTATTTTATAATCCTTGGCTTTGCTTTACATAATAAATCCAAGACTTGTCATACATATAAACAAAAAAACAAAACCAAACTGAACAAAAGTAGTTATCAAAAACAAAACAATGTGAAAATCTATGCTAAAAAATTTTTTAACGAATTTTATATTATTTTCGTATTTATTTTTTACAAATAAAGTAAACAAATAATTATAATGAAATAAATAAAAAAGTGACTAAAAAGTCTGTAATAACAAAAGAACAATACTATGGACTATTTTTCAATATCTTGAAAATAATCCATAGTAGTGTAAGACAGTGAATGAGTTTTCTTATAATTTTCCTATACTTTTGGCCAAATTAACATCAGCCATCCATAGTAAGCTGTAATATCAAGCTTTTACTGTATATTTAATTTTCTTATCACTTACTAGAATTGAATGTCCTTAGCTAATTATTTAATAAAGAAATTAATAAAAAAAGAAAATTTCCTTAAAAATATTGCTACTAAGTTTGTCAGTTTGTTAAATTGTGTAGTACCTTCATACTCAATTTTTATTGTAAAAATTTGTTTTTTTACTGACTATTTTTGTTTTGATGACTTTTGCAGGGGTTTATAAATATGGTGAGATATTTATCAGAAAATATTTCCTTTAATTTATTCAATAAATCATTTGCAGTCACTTGTAAATTTAAACTGTCTGTTATTCTGTAAAATTGAAAAACACTAAGCTAGATACTAAATTACATATATTTTATATTCAATTTTAATTATCATTTCTAATATATCCACTAGATATATACAGAGTGGACCAAAAATAGGTATACATTTAGAAACCAGTCAATATGTATAGGTGTCTGTCCGCATTTTTTCTATATATGTAGAAAGTAGGTATACAATAGTAAAAACATAAATATATTATAAACATATTTAAAAACATATATGCCATACTTATATATCATTAAAACTAAAAAGTTTTTCCTTTTCCTAGCTACCTCATTTACAAGAAAAGCTTTACTATATTATTTTTTAAGATTATCTTAGATTTATATAAAATATTTTTCTATTCAATGTAAAACAAAATCTAAATCAGTACTTTCCAATTAAGATTTTTTCATGTAAAATATATTATACATGTATAAAGAATATAATGCAAAATATTAATAAAAACATTATAAAGTTCAGATACTATGACATACTTTGTTATAATTTTCATTGAAGCAATTAGTTAGTATACAGTAAAAGCTTGATACAATGGACCATAACAGGATGAAAGAAATTCATCTGTTATAATAAAAGTCTGTTTTATTGTGTTTACTCATTATTACAAACTCATCCATTATATCAAAAAGTCCATTACTATATAGACGAATCATGTTAGAATAGATCTTGATAACAGACCCAGAAAAAAATATCTCCAGTTTGCAGATGTTTTCTCCAGGTCCAGATGCTAAATCAGTGTATTTTTATCTCATTTCAGTGGATCTATTACTGTGAATATAAGAAATTCTACTGTGTATAGTAATATCAATTTGTCCATTATAATATATCATTATTGTGGACAAAANTCTTAGTTACAATGGAACAGAAAAATAAAAGAATATAAATACAAATTTAAAAAACAAACACAATAGTAAAAGAACAACAATTTGAATACAAGGATGTTCTTTTAAAATAACAAATAAATAAAAATAACAGCAATTGCAGATGAAAATTATATTTATATGGGACAATTTTTTTGTTGATAAGTTGGATGACTGTAAAATAAAAATCAGATAAGACAAATTAACACAATCAATAAAATTATTAGAAAAGCATTTACTTACAAATTGTAAACTTTGAAGAGACAGCTTTGCTTTATTAACCATTTCTGAGAAGGCTCTTCGAAATGGTAAACGCATATTTTCTAAATCTGTTACTGAGAATGTTGGCTCTAAAATCTAAGAATTAGTTCAAAAATCAAATTCTCATAAGAAATGGCATAATCATTACAATAAAAATATAGACTTACTTTTGTTTTTGACAAACTTTGACATATTGCTAGAAAATAACAATGAACATAACATTAATTACATTGTATCTATTAAAAATTAAATACATGTATTATAATGCATTATTAACAGAAATTTTAAAAAATTCAAAATATATAATCAAATGATATACCTATTGTACATCTGGAAAGTAATTTAAGATATTTCTCTAAGTTTTGAAACAACTAGAGAGAGAGAGATCACAAAATCTCACACCTTTAAAATCCAGGGTCAATCTTTACCTACATAGACCGTAATGGTGGAGGTCACGACTGTTCGCTTCAGTTAGGGTAGGTTAGATCAGTGTTCCACAAACTTTTTGTGTTCAAGGTACACCTACCAATCAAAAAATTTTAGAGGTACACCAAAGAAAAAAACCAATGTTTATTTAATATTTATTTATTATAAAAATCAGTACAATGTTTAATGAGAAATGTGAGCCTGCTTAACTGAGCACAGGCGATCAAAATTTGGAACAATTGTTGATAAGGCTGCTCTCATCTCTTGGTCGATCATCCTCAGGCGTTCTCTTTTTCTTGATTTAACTGTAGTGAGAGTTGAAAACCCCAATTCACATAAGTAGGTCCTGGCAAATAGTAAGAGAATTGCAATAGCACACTTTGAAAGCAGTGGATACTCATTTTTTATATGCAGCCAAAAATGTGCTAGCTCTGTTTCGGAAAATTTTAGTTTTAACGTCCGATCAGTTTTTAGCTCCATGAATTCTTCCTGCTCGTTTATCAGTAGGTGTCCAATGGAAATGCTAGCTGAGAATGGATTTCGTACCCAGTCCATAAGTTGCAGGTCACACTTAGGAAAATGAGTTAATTTTTTCTCCTAATAGCTCCAAGTGTTTCACTATCAAAGCCTGCATTTTTTTTCCTGAATCAGCAGCCATGACATTTGGGAACATTTCATTAGTACCATTGGTAGCGTGGCTAATCCATAACACCAACTTAGCGCGAAAGCTTTCAATCTTGTCCGATAACATTAAAATATTAGAATTCCTGCCTTGCAATTTTTTGTCAAGCTCATTTAAATTGGCGAATATATCTGCCAGATATGCAAGTTTTGCTACCCATTCTTCTCTTTTAAACAGAGAAGCAAAATCTGAACCCTGGTCCTCTAAAAACGTTTGAGTCTCATTTTTTAGTTCGTAAATTTGAGAAAGCACTTTTCTGCAAGAAAGCCATCGTACTTCTGTATGAAACAGAAGTAACTGATGATCTGCTTCCATTTCCTGGCACACTGCATTAAACAGATGAGAGTTCAGAAGTCGTGACTTGATGTAATTGACAATTTTGACGACTTCTTGTAGGACAGACAACAATTCATCAGGCAGAGACTTCGCCATCAGTGCTTCCC